CTTTATAATATTTTAAAATATATAATAAATAGAATAATTACAACTTTTTTTTTTGGAAAACATTTTAGTAATTTTTTAAATCTTTTATATTTAGATTCTCTCTCAAAATAGGTTTTGTTGCCCAAAGTTAACATCTCTTTATATAGAATAGGTATTGTCTAGGTCAGGCATTCGATAAAGCACGCTGACGTAAGTCGCCTGAAATAATCTAGCACGATAATCCCCTACAACTACCGCGCGGTTTTTCCGTACATCTACCGCTACATATATATATTTCCGATGATATCACCGATCATGCTCCAGCGTGTCTTGGAAGAACAAAAAATTGCCGAATGCGCGATCATTTTTGTTCAAAGACGAGCCCCTTCCGCGCGATTCGTTATCGTTATTCAATTTGTATATCGAATCCATTAATCCGCGATAACAAATTAGAGCGTAATCGGCTGATATATTGCGATAGGTCAGGTCCGTGTCGAGCGGTCGACGATAAACGTGATTAGTTGCATAACCGCAGCGCGTATCTGCGTCGCGAGCGCGCGAAAACATGTCCCCTCGTGGACGTTCTTTTTCTCGACAACAACTTGTCATGCATTCGCGAGTCGTTCGTCAATAATCGTTATCGCCGTTGCACGCGCCCCGTGTTTGCCGGAGATAAAGACTCGGATAAAGATTACGCGGCGACCTGGTATTAGCTCGGCTCGCCGCTATTTCCAGCGGGGAAGCGGGGAGGAAACGCCTCTGCGAGAGCGATATTACCGCGAACGAACGACGCAATTCTCGGAATCGCTGACTAACTCGCGGTCGGCGGCCGACATAATAAATCGCGAACGATTCGCCGCCGGCTTGGGATAAGAGGGTGACGGGGAGAGAGGAAGGCCAGGAGCGCGCAACACGAAGCGATTGCCACGATAGTTCTCCTTTATAAGCGCCTTGATAGCGTAATTATTCAATGGGAGAGGGGGAAGAAGTGTCGAGTGCGAAACACTTCCTAGAGACGTAATCCGTCACTGTGCGAGATGTACCGACCGCACTCGATACATCGGTGTTTGGTTACGAAAAGCAATCCGTTCGTCCGTATCTGACGGCTCTTTTGTGTGCCGCTTGCGCAACAATGTTAGATCCGAGCCTCGCGGCGTTCGAGCGCACGACACGCAAATCGTACGATCGTACTTTACGATGCCATTACTGCGACGTTATTGTATGTGACGTCCTACGCTTAAACTAAGCCAGATGTTTGTGACTGTGACTTGGAGACGTGTTCGTTTCTCGGTCATGAGGCATCTCGAGAGTACGAGGCAGGTGCAAATCGCATTAATATTAATCTCCCTTCTTTTCGACGTATTAATATATTAATTATTAATTATTAATATATTAATTATAATATAAATTATAATAAATTATGTACAATATATATGATTAATATATTAATTATTCAATGAGAGACACGTCGACTGGCACAAGATTTATCACAGCCTTGTAAAATGATCCTTATCGGGCTAGGAAAAATTTTCTATCGGAATTTTCTCGCGCCGTGTTATCTACGGAATCGTTATGACTATTATATATTGCGCGTATTATATTATTAATGATTTTTTTTTCTCGGAAATTATCTCGCGATTAATCCCTGACGGGCGCAAAACATTGATATCGTGCAATAACATTTGATACGTCTGTTCGTCAAGCACTCTCGTTACAAAAAGTGATTCGTGCGCACAAACAGTTCGGCGCTGCGATTAATCGAGCGGGATTAAGATGTATTTCACGGTTCGCCAATAGCGTTCACTCAAATAGGCGATTAATCACCTCGGCTCTACGTATCTAACGCGCTTGGAAATATTTCGCGCAGTTACGTTCGCGCTAATAATAACACGTCGGTTTCGCCGCTGCTTTTTTTTCTCGTGTTTTTTTTCTTCCCTCTTTTTTTCGCACCGCCTCGACCGACAATAACAACTAGGATTTCGTTTTTTTTTTTATTTTCGCAACATGTGTGCTCGCGAGGAATTTGGAGGCTCGCGGGTGAGTCGTCGAGTATTGGAGTCGCGTCAAGGTTAGATAATAACTTTCTTGCATCAGCGCACGCGGCAGATACCATTCTCAGATAGCGCGGCGAGTGTGTGCATATGCTAACTACGGAAACCGGTTAGTGCGCACTAAATTGGACTGCGGGCTAGTATTTTTTTCCCCGTGTTACGTCCAACTTAATGGCTTTCACGTGTACCGCCGGCTTCTTATTTTTATTCCGGACTTCCAGCGCGTACCATTTCTTTTTTTACGATCGTCGTCTCCCAGTCGAATGCGAGGAATGCCTCGCGTCGAAAACGAAAGTTGGCCGTTGGCGTACTTCCTATATATTTTTACAAAGCCTGTTTGGTTCAACGCTCTCGATTCTCGCTCTCGAAATGTGTAATTCGTGGGAGAGGTCGAGGAAGATGTAATTATACCGAAAAATTTCTAGATTTTTCAATTAATATATATTAATATTTTTGAAAATTTTTCGCGCAATTATCGAGTCGAAAAGGAATTTTCCAATGATTCGTGTGCAATATTCGAGGGTAATAATCCTGTTTTTTTTTGTCCAATAATTTTCGGAATATTTTTATCAAGTTAATTTTAAATATGTTAATGACGTGATATGTATTGACAACAATTTGATCGCGCGACTATTCACGTGTGTTTTCAACGTGCAGCGAGCTGCCAAGTAGCAGCGCAAAAAAAAAAAAAAGAAACGGCGCCGCGGCGCCTTCCTCGCGTTTATCGGCTCTTGTCTACATTGTTGACTAATCGCAGTAATGCGAAGTAAACAACACTATTTACTTCGTGTGAACGCTTCATCTATGTATATGTACGTATGCGACGCTACTACACTACTCTGTTGCAATCGAGTTTTCGTAACAACATATTATATAACGTTGTTAGTCATCGACGTGCGTTTAATATACACACATAACCGACCAATATAAAATTCTATCATTGGATGATTTAATGAAGAGCTTAAATCCATAATGAAATGCACGCTGTAAAAAATATTGAGCTTGGTGAGATAATTGAATATGCGGAAAATATTCAGAAATTCTCTCAAAATTCTCTGTAGAATAGATACATGTTTATCTCGTCTGATACATTAGAATAGACTATTAAAATTAAACACGTGTTGTGTTTATTGCTCTGTTGCGATGATCAGAAGCATTACAAACCTGGCGCTGATGTTACAAGTACGATAAAACAAACTAAACTTTACTTTGTTGCAATATGGAATTTTTAAATTAATTGGACTTATCGTTAGAAAAATGTTTAATTAGTTTCTAAAAATTTAAATATTAGAATTTTAAATATTTTATTTAAATATTAGAATTTTAAATATTTTTATTTAAATTAAATTAATTTTTAATAAACGTATTTTTGAGTAGGAGCACTTTGTGGAACCTTCGCATTTATTAAGAGATTAATATACAATGTTGTGACCACAATTATAGCTGCCTTTCAATCAAAGAGTAGAGTAAATTCAGAAAAATAACAATTACCGATTCAAAACCATGCTGATGTCAGATGTGAATTAGATACTTCAACAACTTATCTTAGCAAAAGTACTTTAGAATTCATTGAAAAAAGATCGAATGTAACAAGATTGCGAGAAGCATTTCTCTCCGATAACAAAACTAGATATCGAATGAGTGACGCATTGCATAACGCGAGCGAGTGTTTTCTTCGCGAAAAACGGTCGCCTGCCTTCGACAGTGCGCAATATTTTCGTGACCCTGGACTGACATTGCCAAACATAACCAATACATACGCGGCGATAGAGGGACGGTCTCGCTAGAGTGGAGGCCAAGGTCGCGGGTTCCCCACTCTATCCACCCCACCCTGGCTTGCCACTATGTTGACGCCTATCGTTCGCCGCCTGCCCGCTCGTCTTCCTGGTGACGCAACTATGTTGCACAGCTCGAACCGACTATTATGGTCGTCGTCGTTGTAATTCCCGTTCCGCGCTAGGTATCCTCGAGCCACCTCACTGGCGCCTGTTGTCGTTCTATTTTATCGTTTTAATTTGCCTATCGCGGAATTTCTTCTACATCGTCGTCAGCTAGAGCGCCGTTGACTTGTTATGTCGAACGTTGCGCAACAGTTGTTTATGAAAACATCGGAAATGTACATCTATAAATAATTATCGATTTACTTCTCTATCACCGAGCGTTAATTTTAACTTGTGAACTCTAACGAAGCCGATAATATATAATATTTAATATTGTCTTGTAATTGTGATTTAAAATTTTTTAATTATAATAATAATTCTAATGTATTATAATTTAAACGACACTAAGAAAAATCACGAAAAAGTTTCATATCGTACTAGAATTAATTTTGATTAATTGCGAAAATGTGATCTTTTCGATTTATCTAAAAATAATTCAAGAATTGAAAATGCTTGGAATGTTTGAGATAAATTAATAATTTTTTATTTAATGAAATTTGTACCGCGTAATTGGTCTGTAGTACGCTTTCATCTCGAGGAACTTTATTTTCGTTTTTTTTCTATGACAATTGATACAAGTTGAGTAAAAAGCGACATACGTACGTGCGAATACGTACTTACAATTAGAGTATTTTGTTTTCATCGTCGCACATGTATAAAAGAAGCATGGCTCGCAGGACGAGGGTCATATACTGGCATCCTTGGGGGAGAAAGTTGTCAAGCGAGAGGCCGAGGGTCCGGGGTTATTATGAATTGCGAAAAATTCACTGGAACGCTTTTTCGTTTTCGAAGCCCTTTAAAGGGTTCGTTTACGATTCTGCTGACCCGTGTCGTTCGATATCAATGTCCATATTTAACGTAACAAGCATCGATTTTTGAAAATAGATGTGGATGTAGAATGGAACGCGAGCAAGAAATACAGATAATATATACACGTATAAATTAATATAAATTAATGTCGCATTTAGTAATGCACATAACGTATGTCTGTTTAATATCTTGCAAATAATCCCGTTTTGTCCGCTTGCAGACAAAGCTGTGGCGCCAACGGCATCTTCTCCCGTCGTCTAGATTTCAGCGCTTTCAACAGTTTGCCCCGCACCAAACTCAACTCCTACCACATCAAGGTGAGTAATTAATTACTTCGCTACTTTTTGACGCGACGGAAGTTTCGCTTATGAAGCGTATAAATTACGACACACTACTTTGTTAACGAAATAAACCGACGTGATGAATCGTTGGCGATTACACAACATGCGAGATATACATATATATCGCGTGGAATATATCAAAATAAAATACTACACTGGGAAAGAAATATATCTTAAGATAGAAATCGCCTCTGTTGACTTCCTCAAAATTACGAAAGAAACAAATTATTATTTCATTTTATTATATGATAGCTACATTGTGCAATAACCTGGCATATTTAATCAAACGGATTTACATATGCTACATGCGTACGTAATAAGGTAAAAACTAGCTTGATAGATGGAGGATTAAACCAATATTGGTGACCACCAGCTTTAATCGCGTCGTAGGAGCTCGTTAAATTAATCTCGACCGAGAGACCGTCCTTTCCACATGCGTAAATCAGGCATAAGCTACGCCCCCGGCGAATCCTTTCGCATCCCGTCCTGTAACACTGTCGTCCTACCCTAAATACGAGGGGAAATCAATACCTGGGTAAACCGGGTAGCGTGCATGTGTCTCTTTGCGCACGCACGCACGTGCGTATCTACATACGTGCGCACGTACATTCACATCCGTATCGGCATTAAAGATATAAGAATACTTTTACTCATTTATACGACTTTTCCCTTGACCCGTGTTACTCTGTGGGTGTGCAAAGTCCGCTTGCACCGACGTCGGTTAGCGGTTAACTCTGTGATTCAACTGACTTATTATCTATTAACTGGCCGATTAACTGTTTTATTGTTGCAAGTAGCGGTATAATCCAGAGAGAGATGGAGGGCATCGTTAATCCGGGATTAGTTAACCCGGATTGTCGATGCGACTCGTAAACTCGGTTATACTAGTAAGTCGACTGGTGCTAATCCTGGTTAATCGACCTTCTTTATCCGCCTTTTTGTATTGCAGATTACTAGAATTGCAAAAAAGCATCATAAAATTCGAGATATTCCGTGGTTAATTTAAACCGTCGGTTTAATTTCGTTAAATAGTGTAATCTAAATTATGTATTATTAGTTTACTTGTAAATTGTATAATTAAAAAAGAATAATTGACTTTATCTTTATGTATAATATATCTCTATTGATATGTTATATCAATATAGAATAAAGAGTGTATAATTTAATTGAATAAATATAAAAATATATATACTTATATTTATGTTTATTTAATTAAATTTAATTAAACCGCGTAAAAATTTCAATCAATGACACAAAATATTGCAAATATACAAATGCGTAAGCGAAACTTCTACCAAACATGCATTATGAACGAGTTTAATGCATTATGCAGATGCGTTTTAACCTTGCGTAGAATATTATACAGTAAATGAATTATGAAAGATAATCAGTTTCAATATATTATAATATCGATTTGTTGACGAAAGGGCGAGCTTTTAACATTTCGCGTCTGTAAAATTCTACGTTTATCTTGGATCTATTTTACGAAGCAGAAAAAATAGCTCTTTTGAGGTGGACGGGGGATCTATAAGCGATGTGTACGCCCCATCTCTCCCGTTCCATAATACTTAACAAACTTTGACCTACGATCTGACCTCGACCTTCAAATTGCCTGCCATTTCGGCGCTTGTTTGCGGGAACGAAGAAAGAAAGGATGACTGGTAAAGCAGCCAGCTGGCTGTTCCCCTCCGAATTAGGGTACGTGCTCTCTCGCGCTGGGTTTCAACTTGTCTCGATAGAATCACCCGAGTTGTATTTTCGTCGGGACTTGGTCGGCGAGCAATCGTCAAAGTTTATAAGTTAACGACGCGACTAATTAACGCCGTCGAAACTTGGGGAACGATGCGTTCCTCGTGCGACGTTGCTAATCCGATCGCTACATCTGTTACGCTATTATTTGTTATCGTTACTGTTATTATCGACATATGGCGGAAATAAGAGCAATAATTTTTCCCGCGACTTTACGCGCGGCGCCGCTCGTTACGACGCGTTCGTAAAATCCATCCTGGCTATTTTATTAGAAAGCACGTGTACCCTTCCCTCGATCATTTTTTTTTTTTTTTCGGCTCTACCGACGGTGCGCTTTATTACAGTTCGACGTGACGTTTATAGCCCGCGGCGAGAACTCCGTCGCAGAAAACGACATTAACACATGGCATCCCTCGCGGAAATTCTGCCTAAATATACGAATATATAATACTACGTTATTATCGAAAAATAATTTTGAAGGTACTTTGCTATCGTCGATATCATGAAAATATCTGTCAAATAAATCGTCAACTGGAGAACGAGAACGTTTCCCGATACGTTCTCGCTTTTATGTCGTGACATTAGGGAAATAAATGCAGGGTGCGTATCCTTTTTTACGTCACGGTTTTGCATTCTTTTATCGCGCAACGAGATTTTCCGTGGCCATTCTCGAGCGTTATTCCGTCTACGAATCGACACACGAAGGTAGCGGCCGCTGGTTGCTGGTTCCAGTTTTTCAATAATACCGGTTCTCTCAGCCTCGCCGGCCGACTAAACCCAACGAGAGCCGTTAGGTAACTCGAGGGAGATCGATCTCCCTCTTTCTCTTTCTCTCTCTCACGCGATGGACATGTGTGCACGCATCGGGTTTTACAGTAGCAAAGAGATGGCTACGCACGGAAAGGACGGGGAGAGGAGGGACCTGGAGGAACCACAGGGCACCGTCGTAAACCCTCTGTTGGAAACCCTCGAAACACACCCAGCGAATCCTCCCATGGCAACCGCGTCCCCGCAGCTATCGTTCCCTTCTCCCCCCCCTCCGCCCATCCGGTGTGCGACCCTCTCGCATCGAGGGTGGATTACCCCTTTCTGCGTCGCGCGATGCGAATTGCAAAATGCAAGGTTTGCCTTTTGCGCGCTGAATACCGATGCGCACCGCCGACAATCCCCGGAGTCACTTAAGACCGGGGATTGTCGCCGTGAAATGGAAGTCATGGCGATAACTCCTCCGTTAAGACCCATCGTGAGGGAAAAGCAGAATGTTCCCTGCGCTCCATCGTCGTCTCGCGAATCCTTTCGCAATTTTTATCGCTCCACTTTAGTTGCGAATTCTGCAGCAATAGTGCTTACAAAGAGCAGCAAGAGATCCGCGAAGATACGTAGAATAATTTTCTTTTTAATTATCGTACGTGTGTGCAAATCGTGACGAACTATCGTGTGTTTCGTGTGAACAACCTCGCGGCTGCGTCCGACGATAAATCGGACAGGAGGAAAATGGGAAAGTGGCGTGCCACGATGCAGCAACAGTAACTCGACACGTGGCTTATATAGACACTGAAACTAGGAGTGGCTTGCATTCGCGTTTTATGCTTCGTCTCGTCGCGCTGTGTTTTATCTCTCTTGGCTTGGAACGAAAACGACCAACATTTTTAGATTAATGTATTATTTTATGATGTTTGTAGCTTAATATAATCTTATCTTGTAGCTTAATATAATCGTAATTCTAATATAACGTAATTAAAGTACGACGTGTAATTGCTTTTGCAATGCATTTTTTGGCGACTGACGTTTAGAAAATCGAAAGTAATATCGCGTCATAAATTCGTATCTATTGTCTTTTTTTTTTTTTTTGGTTTTGCAACTTATATAATTGAATCATCACTGTTTCGATGTAAATATCGGACGATAGTTTATTTTTACGTAGCTTGAGTCTCTCCCCTTCCAAATGTGATGCGGTTGAACGACCCGAATATTATCATTTCGTCGAATACTTGATGCGCTAAGCGTTACATTGACGCGATAGTTTATTATTGTAGAGCCCGCCGTATGCGAACTGCGGTTCTTTATCTCTCGCGACTCGATAAATATTGTTTCTTGAGCGCAATGTGACGAAGATAAATGCATCGAATGTCAGCAGCGCCAGCTTGCAGAAAATACTGAACGGGCAAAATGTCAAGTACACAATACTCCGTTTCTTTCACCTTTGTTCCTTGCACAAATAAAATAGAGGGATTAAAAGATAATAATGCAAATATATGCAATAATAATAATATAATTAAATTAATATATATACAATAATAAAATAATATATAATTAAATAAAATTAATTAATAATAAATTTAAAATAATTGGAAAGAGAAAACTCACGCGCTTTACCTTTTTAGAAATACAATTGTTATTTTAAATAAAGGATTTTTTTTCCGAAATAAGTTTTGAACGTGAATCAAATGTCTCGCCAGAGTCACCGCTTATATCAAGCGTTATATTTCGTCGCTGAATACATTGTGTTGGTCTTATTATCTCGACCTAGCCGACTGTGATAAGGGATTGTTCCGTTAGCAAACGTTCACAAATTATGTTTTTTCCTGACAAGGACATGCGAAACGATGTCGAGCGTTCTTTCGGGTTGCTATTTAATTTTTTTTCTTAAAATTATGTAATGCAAAGATACTTTATATAAATTTGGATGGATTTGTCCAGTCTATAGAATATTAATATTTGGTCGAATTGAATTAATTGACAGTGAAAGAGCTTTTAAAAAATGTTGTATAATAATATAATATAAAACATCTCTTTTACATCACTCTCTTTCTCTCAATACGTTTCTCCTTTTATTTATATTTATGTCATTCACACGAATCCGTGAAACAAAGAAAGCGAAAGAGGACTATAAAAACTGACAGACCCATGTCATAGACGAGAGCGATCCGCCTCGCAAAGGATGGTGGACCGCGTAATTTTCTCGAGGATTGCACGGAGAACCCTCGTTGGTCTACGCTGAGTGGCGCTAGAACTCTGAATGATACTCGTGTTCGAGGGGGCAGAGATTAATTAAAAGGACCGTTCGTAAGAACGACGTCGAAAAGCTTTTCTCGTAATTCAGTCGTCCTGGAAGAGATGAAAAGCGAGGCTTTCCTTTCTTTAGCATCCTCTCGTATTTCGCGAGTCTCCCTGCGTCGCGTCGCGTCGTCTCGCTCGTCGATTCGACGGACATTGATTCCCAATGA